ACGAGTTTTCATAAACCCACAAGCAAAAATGTATATAAAATGTGAAACTTTCTTATGATATGCATTAGTTAAGTTAAACTTAGATTATGTTTATATATTAGCACCTTTTAAATTAAAAAAAAAAATTAAATTATTTTTTAATAAGTATTTAATTAAATTGCACCTTCTAACATCGTGTGCAATCCTGTCCGCTTTCTGTATGCTATCTTTCTAACACGACTTCTTCTGTCTTTTACTCTAACATTCTTCGTTCTTCCTAAACTCACTTTACTCTTGGTCCGTAGAGTAGATAATGACGCTATTTACTAGCTGAACTTGCCTCTGCGGTCCTTGGTAATGTGGCCTCCGTATGGCAATTAGCTGGAGGAGGATAAACCACAATACCTATTAGCACCTTCTAACATCGGGTGTAACTCTGTCCACTTTCTCTATGCTATCTTTGTAACTCGACTACTTCTGTCTTTCCCTCTAACATATCTTCGTTCTTCCCAAACTCACTTTACTCTTGGTCCTTAGAGCGGGTTATGACGCTCCTTGGGGAGCCGAACCTGTCTTTGCGGGCCTTGGTAATGTGGCCTCTATATGTCAATTAGACAGAGGAGGATAAACCACAATACCAACTTAAATTATATATATATTATAATTAACCTATATTATAGATAATTTAATTGTGTGTACAGATTGCACTTTAAGTGCAATATCTGTTTACTCTCTCTCTAACTTTTCTTCTGACTTGACTTCACACTTGAAACTAAGTCATGGTTTTCCTTAATATCTTTCTCTCTATATGTAAGTATATATCCCTCTATACATAAATAAATCTGCATAAGGAAAAACTACTACATACAAAGGTACCAATAGGTAAAAATGCTACGTTTAATTAGGTCAAAACGTGACGCATTGTTACGTAACATTTTTGCACGTAATGTTACGTTGCAGTGTTGCGTATTGTTAAGCTACAGTGTTACGTCTCGATTACGTAAAAATAACGTACAATTTGCACTTAGCGTTACGTTACAGTGTTACGTATGGTTACTTAAAATGTTATGTCTTGATTAAGTAAAAATAAAGGACATTTTGCACGTAACGTAACGAATCTCGTTTACGTTAACTTTAAAATGTTTTAATAATAATAATAATAAAAATAACAATAATAATAATAAAAATAATAAATTTTGCTGTACACATACAATGTGTGAGTCTAACATCTGTAGATGTTAAAAATATGACAGCCGTTGCAAAAGTGTTTTTTTTTTTTGTTTTTTTTTGTATGTTATATATTTTTTTTGTTTTTATTTGTTTTATTTTCTTATTTTGTTTTTTTCGAAACGATCAAACTTGTTTTTGAAGATGTTCACATTTTTAGAATTAATTATCTTCTCTGTTAAATTATTCTAATTGTTAACTATTTTGTTTGTAAGGAAGGTAAATCTTGTGGTAGAATGTGTGAATTGTTTTTGTATTTTCTGAGTATGACCTCTTGTTAATGCATATTTAATTATTTTAGGAGGATGATTCCATTTAACTTTATCCATATTTATACTTATTTTATAAAATTGAATCAAATCGCCTCTTTCTCTTCTTGTTTTTAAAGAAGTCAAGTTAAATTTTTTCAGTCTATCTTCATAGCAAAAGTTTCTTAAACTATTTATTCGTGTAGCCCTACGTTGTATTTTTTCAATTTTAGAAATGTCCTTTTGGTAGTAAGGGTTCCATACCGGCACCGCAAACTCCAGGTGTGGACAAACCAATGACGTGTACAAATGTTGCATTGAAATTTCATCTAATCGACAAAAAGATTTCTTTATCTGACTAAGCTTTCTATTAGCTCTTGCCGCAATTGTATTGATATGCTTTTCCCATTTGACATCGTTTGATATCATTACGCCATCTTCACTCTATAACGTGGTTTCTTCCATAACTAAAGCATTTTGCTGAATCATATCAAATGTACTAAGTAATTATATTTTAAGTAATTATATTTTAAATTTCTTTTGCCGATATGCATAATTTTGCATTTTTCTTTATTGAAGTTGATTTGCCATTTTTCACTCCATTCAACCAGCTTACATAAGTCTTGCTGTAACGTTTGACTGTCTTCGACTGTATTAATGACTGAAATAATTTTTGTGTCATCTGCATATAATTTGCAATAATTAGTCGTTAAATCTTTTTAAATCATTTGTATATATGACAAACAAAAGGGGTCCAATAACTGATCCTTGTGGTACTCCACTTATTGCTTTTTTCCACTCAGAGGTTATCTCACCGAGAACCACTCATTATGTTCGTCTGTTCAGAAAACTTTTAAACCAACATAATAATTGTTCTTGGATCCCATAGGATTGTAGTTTTAATAATAGCCTCTTATGTGCAACTGAGTCAAAGGCTTTGGCAAAGTCTAAAAAAGCTATATCTACTGATAAATTTTCCTCAAGTGCCTGAGTTATTATGTCAGGTGTTTCAAGTAAATTTGTGCAACAACTTTTAGATGATACAAAATCATGTTGAGAGTCAGAGAGTATACTATTTTTAGTCAGATAATTCATTAGTGTGTCTCTTATTATGCTTTCCATCACTTTGCACACTATTGATGTGAGTGATACCGGCCTCTAGTTTGTTACTTTTAATTTATCTCCTTTTTTAGACAGTGGGGTAATATTTGCACATAACCATAAATATAGTTCAACGCCACTCGAAAATACTTTTGCAACATTCTTTTAAAACTCTAGGGTGTACTGTGTCTACTTCAGTTGATTTATAAAAATTCAGAGTTGCAAGCTTTTTACTAACTGTTTCAATATCGAATGAAGGATTTGGGCATAAAACATCACACTGTTTTGGAAACTCTGGGAGGTTTTTATCTTCAATAGTAAAAACTGAGCTGAAAAAATTGTTTTGTTCGTTATCAATCTCAGAAAGGTTGGTAGTAACTATTCCATTGTTATTCTCAATAGCTCGAATATAATCTTTAGTTTGAGTTTTATTATTCATATATTGGTAAACTGTTTTGGGATTCTTCTTACCATTTTTCGCTATTGTGTGCTCATATTTAACAATTTCATTTTTCCGTTGTGTTTTTTTATATTTTTATATTTCTCCTCAAGTTCTTGATCTCTAAACTTTGCATTTCTACATTTTATCCATAAAACTTTTTTTGCCTTAATCATTTTCGATAGACTTTTATTAAACCAAGGTGCTCTTTTCATTTTATTTGATTTAGTTAACGGTATATTTACATTGCAAATGATTTTATAATGTTCTAACCATTTTTCGTAACACTCATTAGCATTCAAATTTTCGAATATCCTTGACCAGTCAGTACTATCAAAGTGTTTATTAATTTCATCATAGTTTTCTTTATTATAGATGTATTTTTTTTTTGTTAAACTGTGCTAATATTCAGTGCTAACACATAATTACAAATACAGTTCAGATGAACTGTAGTTGTAATTATATGTTAACATGTGATGACCATTGTTAATTGATATAATGGATGATGTTCTAGCTTATATATTCGCAAATTATTTTCGGTTATTACTAAATCTAAGACATTAGTTTCAATTTCATCATCCACTGGAAACGTTGGCTTGTTTATATTTTGAAACAAATAACATTCATCTAAGCAGCCTATAAACATACTAGCAATTTAATTTGGTTCTTGCAAATGGGCAAAAAATTCCTCACTCCAATCTATTTTTGCTAAGTTAAAATCCCCATTTAAAAGAATGCCACTATATGTTTTATTGTATATCATTTCATATGCTACTTTGGTTGATGTTGTAATTTTCATACAAATTTGAATGTCGCTTATTCCAGGACGATAAATACAGCCACATAGTGTTGATTCATTTTCAACTTCTATGTTACATCATATTTGTTCTATTTGTTGGCATTGATGCACACTATTTTAAACATCAAAAGATTTTATTGAGTCTTTGACATATACCTTTGCCATAAGTTTCGTTCAAACAGTGAATATCCTTGAATGCTCTTGGGAGAACCATTATTCCACCATGTTTCACAAATAAACATTACATCTGGATTATTTATTTCTACTTCGGCTATTAGTTCGTTGTATTTATTGTTTAATGAAGTTGCATTTGAGTACCAACATTTATATTATTTCTTGTTTTTTTTGGGTTGATATTTAGCATTTTTTTACTGTTTATATTAAAAACTGAATTTACTTGAGTTAAATCATTGTTTGGTGAGTTAATTAAGTTTTTAACGTCTTTTGGTTGCTATCTTCTTATTTTTATTACTTTGTCTTTTCGGATACCATAAAAAAAAATTTCTCTCTCTTCGTTTTCATTATTTTTTTCTTTACATTCTTGTCTCAATAATTTGGATTTATATGTTCATACTCTTTTGAGTCACGTAGTTCTTTTTCTTTTTTTAATATTGAATTTTTTTCAAACTTATCTTTTAGTATAACTATAAACGGGGCTTGTTTGTCACTGTTTGATCTTAACTTTATAACACTTTGAATGCTTACTTTAACTTGCAATTTGTTAATAACTTTTTCAATAGACTTTTTTTCACTGTTGGTTTGCCTTTGTGGTGGTGATTTCGCTTCTTTTAGGGGTGATGTGGCTTGCAAATTAGATACCGCAAGTGGTGAGACTTGCAAAATAGGTACCGCAAGTAGTGATACTTACAAAATAGGTACCGCAAGTGGTGTGACTTGCAAATTGGGTACCGCAAATTGTGTGACTAGCAATATAGTTACGCAAGTGGAGTAACTTGTATAAAAGTGCCACAATTTGTAATGTTTAAAAAATAGGTACCGCAAGTGGTGTGACTTGCAAAATGGGTACCATAAGTGGTGTGACTTTTTTTGATAGACGGCTCTCGATTACGTTCTCGTTGTGTCTATCATTGACAATGATTATTATTTAATTTCAATAATAAAACTGCAAATTTTAATCATTTACAAAGGCCAAGACAAATATATTACTCGTTGTTTCTCATGAGATTTTATTTAAATTTTTTTTTAGGTTGAAATAGATTCAAACTATTCTCTGACAAATTGTACTTAGATTCATCGTATTACACGGTAAAATATATTTTTATATTAGTTTTTTTTTCATTGTGAATAATCACGTTTAAAATCTTTTTTTTTCCAGGTTGAAGGGACGAGGAGTGAAGCATACATCCCTACCTCTTTCTCAAAAAAATGGTTACTTTGATACATCTTGTAATATAGTTGAATATATTTTCATATATTTTCAAAGGGAGAGAAAAGCATACACTCTTCCCCCTTTTTATGAAAAATGGTTTCATGGGTGCATCTTGTCACATGGTAAAATATATTTTTATATTAGTTTCTCTCTTTGTAAATAAACACATTTAAAATCTTTTTTTTGTATTAGAAAAGGGAGAGGGGGATGAACAGCATACATCCTTCCTCCTTTCTCTGAAAAATTGTTACATGGATACATCTTGTAACGTAGTTAAGTAAGTTTCCATATCATTTTCTGTTCTTGCGAATAATCAATTCATTTTATTTTTTTTTTTATTTTTTTTTTAGGTTGGAGAGATAGAGGGGAGGAGCACACACCCATTCCCCTAAGTCACTGTATTGACCACTAGCATATGTTGTAAAGTAATGGAATATGATTTTCAATTGAGATTTGTATCTATATTATATTCTAAATATATTCATATCTGCATTTATATCTATACTATATTCTAATACCATGTGTTATAATAATCTTTTATAATTTTAAGAATTAAAATCGTAAAAAAAATAATTATGCCAAGAGTAAAAGAATACAATACAAAATACATGAGAATTTAAATGAGAAAATATCATAACAGAAGAAAGAGCCATGATATTGGTAATTACAATGTTGAAATGATAATATTCAATTCAGATTCAAATGAATGTTTTTAATAAATATTGATTATTATTTTATTTGTAAATATATAACTATTGATTATTATTTTATTAATTATTGATGCAATAAATTATTCATGCCAAAGTAATGATATGTTGAACAGCTTGTCTGCTATTGTGCCAACGACTTTGAACATGGCAAGATGGCTTTTAAGAAGCCATATTGTCTTTGTAGTCTATTCCTTTAGGTTTTCCAATCAAAATTTGAATAGCATAAATTTGAAAGAAAAGTTTAACTTAAAGCGTAACGTAATACGCAAAGAAATTTTTGCAAAGACTTTTATTTTTTATATCTTTAAATTTTTAAAATAGAAGTAGAAGGTCAACCATAAAAAATTAGCAAAAACTGAATGGTTTTTTAAACTTTTCCCAAAAAAATTAATTAAGACTAACTGGATAGACAAGAAATATAGAATTTTGGACCCCCCTTCCCCCTAAAACAAGTAAAATTAAAAACGAATTTTTAAAAGCCAATGCTTTTTATAAGTTATTTAATAACATTTTTTTTATATGTTATTTAATAACAATTTTGATTGTTAAAGCACAAATTTTGCAATCAATTTTTTCTGATATTACTATTTTATTTTATTAACATTCGGCTGTAAAAAAAAAAAATTCAAACAATAGCCATTTTTCGAAAAGAACGCCTTACTCGATGTACTTATATGTTGATGTTATATATTAAGACTTATATGTTGGATGTTATATATTAAGGACGGTTTTTTTTTTTTTTTTTTTTGTAGATTAGAACGTTTTACTCGCCCTCGGATAAGAACAAAAGAAATTTTTCGAGTTAATATCTGGTACGCATTTTATCTCAGTTTAAAAACAACAATTGCCGATGTTATTTTAAAACTAATAAAAAAAACTAGCTGTCTGAAACCATAAAACAGGTCAAGTTATGTCTGTTTCGCACCTATCAATTTATAAATATTCTTTATAATGTCACTTCTATAATTTATTAGTAAACGGTAGAAAATAATTGTTTTTTAAAAAATATAGTTTTTTATAAAGATCCATCCTCCTCCCCAAACGTGTAAACGGTCGGTCGGAGTTGTTATGTCGATAAGTCAAAAAACAATAGAAAATGAAACAAAAGTATTTTGTTCTAACTTCTCCTGAAGCTATGCAAGCCAAGTTAAATGATCTAAAAAAGAAAGAGGAAAAGGTAGAGGCTGCAAAAAAAAAAAAAAAAAAAAAAAAAAAAAAAAAATTAAAGCAACTTGAGATAAAAGAAAAGAGAAATAAAGAAATGATAGAAATGCAGAAATAAAAAAATAATTTGTTATTAAGAAGTGAACAGTTAATATTTTTTATCAAATTTTGTTAAAACTTTTTGACGTATTTCTTGAATTTTGATAGTTGAAACCTTTTTGAATCAATATACAATTTTACAGATCCAGTTTTACAAATAATTTGTTTTCTTTTTAAGTTATTTTGTCCATATTTAGGTGGTTACTTATGTCTTTACTAGTTTTTATTGAGTAATTATAATATTTAAAAATTTAAAAAGTTTGATGTGTAACAGTTAATAATCAATATTTAACTAGTTCATTATTTTAATTAAAAAATTTTTTTTTTTTAATTTGTTTATATCTTATGAAAATTAAGTTATTTTTACGACATTTTAACCTGTGGCAAAGTTAGTAATATCTAATTTTCCATTAAAAAACAAGCTGGCTCTTAATTAGTCAACCCGGCCATTAATTGGTGTTTATTCAAAATTTAAGTTCAAATGAATTGTTTATATTGTTGTTTTTTTAATATTTTGGTAACAATTACTCAAAATAGATTGAAAGAATGTCCATTATTATATATAGCAAGAAAAATTTAAATCTGACAAAATTACTGTCTACAGAGTGCCTTTAAAAAAAGATGTGGCCATTAATTGGTCAGTTTGCCCTATCGTGTTTTGAATTGACCCATAAAAGCTTTTCAATAAAATCGAGGCAAAGTTATCAGGGCGCAGTGGTTAGAGTCTCAGAACTTAGAGATCCAAGGTTCGACACTCTAGAATCCGAGGTACGACAGCTCTTCCCCAACAAGCGCATTAGTAGGGAAGGAGGCATGAACTTCTGTTAAACGCTTTTCCGCGGTGCTCTGTAATAAGGCCGTAAGGACTTCTGGGAGCACCTAAAATACCTACAAAAAAAAAAAAAAAAAAAATGGATTTAAAATTTATCTTTTTTTTAAATTTGAACATTTTAAAATATTTGGAAATCTTAAAATAAACAACAGTTTTACTGATTTATTTTGTAATCTTCTATTTAAATTTTTAATTCATATAATTCATTTCAATACAAGTCAAATTAAACCTAAGGAAAGCAAATAAACCTAAGTTTACGTTAAAATGCCTTTTTCTGCCCAAAAAATTACTTAAGATTACAAAAGATGACAAAATCTCCGAAAAAACTGAATTTCACAACTTTCTTTTGAAACCTTATATTATTTTTATGCAGATGCTGTAGGTTTTAAAAAAAAAAAATCATTAAACTAAATCTGAGGGAAACAAAAGAACCTTAGTTTTTAAGTCAAAATGCCTTTTTGTAAAAATAAATTTCCTAAAAACAAAAAAAAAGAAAAAATCTTGAAAAAAATTTGAATTTCACTAATTTTTTTAGAAATCTTATGTTATATTTTAGAATAATGTGGATTAATTGTATATTCTGTGGATTAATTGTATATTCTGTAGATTAACTGTATATTCTGTGGATTAATTGTATATTCTGTGGATTAATTGTATATTCTATGGACTAATTGTATATTCTGTGGATTAATTGTATATTATGTGAATTAATTATATATTCTGTGGATTATTGGCACATTCTGTGGAATAATTATTTATTCTGTGGATTATTGGCACATTCTGTGGAATTAAAGAAAACGTTAAATTAAAGCTGAGAGTTAAAAATAACTTTAAATCAAACAAGGAAAAAATATATATACATATATATAAAAAAAAATGTTTTAACTGAATTCTTTTGAAAACTTTTGTTGATGATATGGATTTAGAAAAGTGTTAAACTTAAGGTAAATATAGCTACGGTTTAACGTCAAAATGATTTTTTTGTACAAAAAATTACTTAAAAAAAAACAAACAAGAAAAACCTTAAAAAAAAAATATGTTTTTACTTTAGGAACCTTTTATTATATTTTAATTAACTCTGAGGATTTTTTCAAAAATATTATAAATCTTTGTGAAGAAAAGGAGCCTGGATTTTTTAGGTCGAAATGTCTTTTCTGTACAAAAAAGTAAATAAAATCAAAAATAAGACAAAACTACTAAAAAACAATTTTTCTTTTTTTTTTTTTTGTAATATTTTAATAGATTCTGAGTGTTTATTTAAAAAGAATTAGGCTGAACCTTAGGGATGCATAGGAGCCTATGTTTTTTCAAAATGCCTTTTTTAATACGAAAAAACTTCAAAAAAACACAGGGCGGACGCAGGATTTTTTGAAGTTTGAGATAACTAACTTCCAGACATGGAGCGAACTCAAAACTTTTATATGTTTATAGTTATATTAAAAAAGGATACTTTGCAAAAAATTGAGATGATAGGAGCCTGGGAACAAAAAAACCCCAAAATTGTTGCGACACGTGCCCCAAACGTGAGAGCAACAAGTTGATAAAATAATTTTTTTATTATTCTCAACTAAATCTATATTCATCGAGAAATTTTAAAATTTATACAATAATCTCTTGACGTTCAAAAGTTATAGTCACATAAAGTTTGAATCCCCCTCAATTTGAGGGGGTTACAAATTTTATAAGACCATTATTATTGAACGCTAAAAGATTGTTTTACAAAATTAAAAATTTCTCGATGAATATAGATTTAGTTGAGAAAAGTAAAAAACTTATTTTATCAACTTGTTGCTCTCACGTTTGGGGCAGGTGTAGCAAAAAATTTGGGGCTTTTTTGTTCCCAGGCTCCTATCATCTCAATTTTTTGCAAAGTATCCATATTTGATATAACTATAAAAATATAAAAGTTTTGAGTTCGCTCCATGTATGGAAGTTAGTTATTTCAAACTTCAAAAAATTCTGTATCCGCTCCTGAAACAGGCATTATTAATTTCTTTGGAATCCATTTATTATATTTCTGTAGATTCTGTAGGTTTATTTTGAAAAATAATAAATTAGAGTTAAAAAAAGCAAACAAAACTATGTTCCTTACATCAAATGTTTATTTTCTTCTTTTATCTATCTTCTTCCTTTATCTGTAAGATATATAAGTAAGATTTATTTGTAATTTTTGTAAAATCAAAAAATATGACAAAATCATTTAAAAAAAAGGTTTTCACACAGTTTAGCTTTTTACTACAAAACGATAAAATGAGTTCGCTCTATGTCTGGAAGTTAGTTATTTCAAAGCATTCGGTTTGAGTGGTGTTTGACAGAGTTTTTTTTGAAGAGGTTGACAGGACTTAGGTAACAGCTTGGTGGTTTCCGCCTGGATAGTTTGTGATTGGTGGAGGGCTTGTTTTACAGTATTGTTATTAACAAATAGGTGTCTTTGGATGTTGTTAACTAATATTTTCTTTGTAAAGTCAACACACTTAAGTGAATTTAATCTTATAACAAATCTATATTTGTCTTTATTCCCCGCAGTCTCGAGCGCTTTTTATTGGCTGCTAGTCTTTTTATATGCAGTTCTCGGTATTCAGATTGTTCTGCTGGAGTACGGTCCAGACAGATCAACACTTGTGCATAATCGGAGTTTGCTAAATTCTTTGCTGCTGCGAGTATGCTATTTTTATTTTCGATGGTCTCAAGCTATATGATGAGTGGTTTAGGCTTTTTTTGATTTCCGTTTGATAGTGTTAGTCTAACTCGCTTTGATTTTATAATTTAGGTTAAAATTTCAATTTTTCCAAGAAGTTCGTTGGTAAGTTGGGTATCGCTATTGTTAGGATTGCTTGGCATGCTGAATATAACGATGTTTTTTGACTTGGACTTTTTTAACATTGTGTTAGCAGTTATTGCCACAACGACCGCTGTGTTTGTTGCTGAACCTTGCTTTATTATTTCATTGTAAAGCGATTTTAATATAGTCTTGCTGTTTTTTCCTTCAATGTTTTTAATACGGTGTTTTAATTCGTTTATAAGTATATCTTTTGCAAAACTTTCTTCTTGAATTTTTTTAAGGCTAGGTTTAATAAAGCGACATCTTGTTTTAATGCGTATAACCATTGATCAAGTAGTACCACTGTGCGACGATTCAATTGATGTCATAATAATTTATATAATATAAATATATTTTTCGATAAGTATATAAGATAGTTTATTTTCCTATTTATTTTCGTAAATATATATAATAATAAATATTATTTTGAAAGAACTGTATATTGTAAGTATGATTATAAATACTTGTATGCATTTATATATAAAAATATACTTGTAATATATGTAATAATATTTTTGTAGATTTTGTGAATTTGTTCAAGAAAAAATTTAACTTTGTTTGAGGGAATCGAAGAAACCTTAGATTTTTTTAAAAAAACGCCTTTTTCTGAACAAAAATTAATTTAAAATCTAAAAATATGACAAACTTATCAATTAACCTAGTTTTAACTAATTCTATTTATAATCTTTTGCTATATTTTTGTAGATTCTGTGGTTTAACCCAAGAAAATAATAAAATAAGCCTAACTTTGGGACATCTTATTTCAGAAATTTAAAAGACATCTTGATGTTCAGATCTTTTAGACGTCTGAACTCAGATTTTATTAATCTCAAATTAGGCATCTTTGAGACATCCTATTTTTAACCTGTCTTAAGAAACCTCTTTTCAATAGTTATAAGTCGAAAACTCATCTCATATATGAGATGAGTAGCCGTCTTAAAACTACTGATAAGAAGTGTCTTTGAGACATCTTGAGACCAGAATGTTTAATAATACAATATTATCATTATAATGCAAATATTATGTGATCTGTAAAGCAAAGATCTGTCAGATGCCTTAGAGGCATTGTATTCGGTAAACTTTAAAAAGGATAATTTCATGTCAGTAATCTTAAAAAAGGATAACTTGCTCTTACCAAAATTACTAGGAGTACAATTTTTTGATTAATTTATTGTTTTATATGTTAATACATTATAATACAACAAATTTATAATATGCTAATACATTAAAAATTTATAACTTTATATTTTATATGCTAAATATATTATAATTTCTTCTAAAAAATTTTATAGACATGATAAAAGATACAATTAAAAGTAAAGTTAAAACTAGATATTTATATTTAAACATTACTTTAATTCAGCGTTCTTTCGTGCTGGAGCGTTTCTTAGAATGCTTAGAACTTTCTTATAAAACTCAGTTTCTGTTGCTTTTGGAAAGTTATGGACCACAGCATTAAATAAAGGACAGTAGATGTTCCTATCTGCAAACTTAACTTTTTGGATTGTCTTTTTATCACGGCTTTTCATGTTTAAATGAGCCGTTACCTCGTTGCTCAATACACGTTTTACGATGCTCTTTGCTCGATCTTCCCAGTTGTAACAAGGCTAAGTTGCGTCAGCTAGAGAAAAGTAAAAAGTGTTTCCAAAAGCAATTCTTTTTTAACAAAAACAATTGTATACACACAGTACAATCCAATTAGTCGGATTTTAATAAATTTGCCAATTACGCTAATGCCATAAATCACAGCAACATTCCTTTGCCGCTACTATTATAGTGCTTTCATTATTCAATGAATCAAACCTACTTAAATGGAATACATAAATAAATAAATTTTTGTATGCACTTTTAGGTCCCTAATAAACTCATGTTTATTACGCACCTAAAAATATATATTTAAAAGTTGTTATAAACATCCTTACTTTTACAGGTAGAGAAACAAGTCATTTGAGAGGTTTTTTTTTAAATTCCATAAACTCATCGGTCGTGTTGATCATGTTCGTATCTTTAATCAACAAACGATTATTCGGAATGCTTATTAAACCTTACTACAAATGCTGTTGCGCATTCAGAAAAACGTTTTTTGTTGAAAAGAAAGAACCGAGCGTTGGAAATCTGTAAATGTAAAACAATGTATTTTGAATATTTTTAAATTACATTATTGGATAAATTTGATTTATAATCGTTGCGTTTTAGAAAAAAAAAGTTTAATCTGAAGTCTTTTTCTAAAAAAACGTTTTAAATAAGTAAAACGACAGATTGTTTCAAAAAAAAAGTTTTATCTGAAGTCTCTTTCTAAACAAAACATTTTATGTAATCAAAAAGACAGATTGCTTCAAAATATCTTAATTTCCTTTTTTTTATTTATTTTTAATCGTTATTCAAGCTATCAAGAAGGCTATTCAAGATTTCATTTTTTTTTTCACTTTTCTTTAATAAAGTCAAGAGTAAATCTTCTTTTAAAGTGCCAGTCAGTAGAAGTTCAGTTAAATTCTAAAGTTTTAACCATTCTAAAGATAAACAGGCTAAAGGAACACCGCTACCTAAAAGTCTTTATAAAAAACAAAGTGGGTGATCAAATTTTGAAATAATCTGTATTACTCTAAAACGCAGTGAATAGCAAGTTAAAAAAAAATTCTAGAAAAAGTTAATAAGTATACCTTAAAGAGGTTGAATGATTGTATCATTCTTGCTAGAGTATTTTGGCAAAAGTTAGCCTCAGGACGTCAAAAAAGAGAAAAGTATTATGTGTTTGGTTGATGATGGAATATGATTAGTACTAACTTTCTAATTAAGTTGTTGCAGTTCGAAAGCTTTGGAAAAAATTCATTTAATTTAAACAGTAGATGTATACTTAATTATTTAAACCATATAAAAATGAAGGTTCGCGCAGTTTAAAAACATTTTATATAATTATTGTCCAGTTATTTGTCCAAAAAGTTGAAACTATGGAATATAGTTGAAACCAGCTACAAAAACAAATGGATAACAATGGAAGAGCAGCAAACTTTACATCAGGTGTGCAAGATGAGTTCTGTTTTAGCTTGATTAAAGTTACAAGGCTGCCCATTTAGCTGTGAACTAGATATTATTGAAGTAGATAAAGATATGTTAAAATGAAAAAAAAGTTCAAAAAATGAGGTTCTTTTTTTTAGGGATACAATGTAGGTCATTGTCACGGAGGTCTATTCTGTTTAAATAAATGATTATTGATATAAAAATACAAACCTCCATCTTATGTCTACCAAAGAACACGCTCGTAACCTAGATGTTCTATAAGGAAAGTTCATCACATATGATGACTTTTATAGTTTTTTTTTTTTTTTTTTTTTTTTTTTTTTTTTTTTTTTATTCTTTATTACAATCATTACTACAATTTCTATTATAACTTGTGAATAAAACGTAAGACATAAAAAAAAGAAATAGATAATATTTACAATAAAGATTTCGTTAACAATAGAAATATGACAATAAATATAACAATAAAAATTAGGAATAAAGAATGCGGAAACTCAAAGAAGTCCTTGAGGTCTTGTCGTAGAGAACCGCTGGAATCAAAACGCTTTAAATGAATTCATTTTTATTGATTTTTTGTAAATGTTTATTAGCTTTTGAATTGGATCTGTTCCGATAAATAGTTATATAAACCGTTGCATAGAATAGTTAAAAATAATATACTTCAGTGTAATTATCGATGTGTTTGATGACGTCATAGTGTGTTATTGATGTTAATATAAATCGAATAGATTTTCAGTAGTAAATAACAAACTGTATGAATTATTTTCACATATAATGCTTAATTTTTTTGTTACTTATAAATGATATGGTATATTATTGATAAATTAACAGAAAAAGATTTCTAGTTTTCTACTTTTCTTATATTTAATGATAATAATAATTTCATTTATTTTTAACAATGCCTTTTTGTTCAATATATTCACTTTTATTAAAATCGAAATAGAAGGCTAAATAACTAAAATGAAAAAAATGATTATGATTTTCAGAATCAGCATGAAAAACTAATTAAGAAAAATTGGTTAAACTATAAAAAATCTAAAAAAAAGACGATTATGAACCCTACTTGACGATTATGAACCCTACTTGAACTACTACGACGATTATGAACCCCCCCCCCCTACTTGTTTACAAATACGTTTTATCCGGTAAATCGGTTATTCGGTAAGTGGTTTAATCCCTAACGAATGTAAACAGTGCCACATTTTCTCCGAATGAAAAGTAGAAACTTATCTGTATCTGTATTCGCCTGTATTATTTAAGTATACAATGCTTAAACCTAAGGTTTTTGCTGAAATGCTTTCGCAAGCTAATACTGGTGGAGTAATGAGTAGCATGTAAGTATAAGTCTATAATTTTATAATTAGTTTTTTAAAAACACATAAGTGTATTTGGTTTAAAAATCTATTATAAAAATCACAATAGAAAAATAAATAAAATAGGAAAATATTTAATGAGGTTTTATTTATAAATGACTCCAACAAAACTTATAAAGACATCTCTAATAAATCTGATAATTAAATAATAAATAAATTGAATATGAAATTCAAGAATAAACCATGAATCTCTGATGACCTAAAACTGTCGATTAAACACAACAAAAATAAAATTAAAAAATATATATATTCAATCTAAGAACCTTGTGAATAAAACTGCTTATTATAAAAAGTACAAAAAGTTTCTTAATATGCTAAATGTGCTCAAGGAAATTAAATTAACTTGGCCAAATAGTGTATGTTTAGTTATTTCTAAATTACTTTGTAATGAAATCTCAACAATTTTTCAAAATATTTTTGATATTTCATTCTTCAAGGGTGTGTTTAGTATGGTTCTAAAGACTGCTGAAATCTTACCAATCTTCCAAAAAAACTCTAAATTACTTGTATCTAAATATATGCCAATATTTTTATTATATAACATTGTCAAAATTTTAGAGAGAGTTATGTTTTATTGAGTATACAACTTTTTTAAGCACACTAAGATTTTCACCAAATTGATGATTTTGGTTTCAGGCCATGGTATTATAATATAAATATTATATATAAGTGCCCTGGATAAAGGAATGCTTGGATTTGGTGTTTTGATTGACCTCCAAAAAGCATTTGACACAGTAGACTTACAAATTTTACTTGACAATATACTATGGTATAAGAGGAGTGACAAACCTATGATTAAAATGATTTCTCTCTGATTTTTCTATAAATAAATAATTATTTTTTTCTATAAATAAATAAAAAAAAAATCGGATTTTTGTTTTAAGGTGGCAATAAGTTGGCATACCTCAAGGTTCCATATTGGGACTATTACTATTTATAATTATTACCATATTGCACCTTAAAACCTATAAATAGTAATAGTCCCAATATGGAACCTCAAGGTTCCATATTGAGACTATTACTATTTATAGTTTATATAAATGATTTATTAATATTTGCTTTAAATTTTAACATGATACAAATCTTCTTTAAATCAACAAATATATTTTAAAAACAAACTTACAAGCCAAGATGCAAGTAATGGCAGTCAATTAAGGATTAAAATAAATGGTATTAAATTACTCCCAAAAAAGTTGATAAATATCTTGGAATAAAAATAGATGAAAGCACAACCAAGAAACACCATGTAATAGATTTATCACTTAAATTAAACAAATTGAATGCTATCTTATCTTTAATATGACACTATATTAATAGAAATATTAATGATTTTTTCCACCAACATAGTAACATTTATATTGTTTTTTTGATGCTGATTTTAATAAAATACTTAAAATGCAAGTAACATGGTTAAAAATATTTTTAAAGCTATTAGTTTATAACCACCATCTCAAACTTTATTTTTTGATGGTGGTTATATAAACTAATAGCAAAAAATCTAACTGGAAAAAACTACTGAAACATAAAAGATATATAACTTTTTCAAAAAATTTGTAAAAAATATTTGTAAATAAAATAAAAATAAATTAATTGTAACTTAAAAAGTTTATTATACAAAATTTTATTAAATTATTAAAGGTATTAAAGATTTTAGTGTTGATAATAGTTCACAATATTGTTGCAATTTTACTTGAACTTTCTCTATTTCAGCATTTTCAAATACATAGTTTTTACCAGAACTATAGCAAGCTTGTGGAACAGATAGCTTTTTCAATATGTTGATGTTGGGAATAAAATAATCATCTCTTCAGGCTAATTAAAATAGGTTGATGGACAATTTGGATAGAGAAACTTTAGCATCAACTTCTTCTAGGTTAATTTTAGTTACAATGCTGATCCACTGTTTATCTTCATAGAATACTGCTACATAACTTGTGACAGTATCAAGATGAAATAAATCTTGTTGCTTATTAAGATAGTGGATTATTTTATAGTTAGTGTCTGTACACCTACACCTCTTTGCCCTTGATTATTTTATAGTTAGTGTCTGTACACTACACCTCTTTTCCCCAACCCTGTTATTTTCATGATCTATAATTTGATGAAAGCTACAAGTACCAGGTAGAGTTGCAATACCAATCTACCTTTCTTTTTGCTCTTCAAGTTATAATTTTAATTCCAAGCCCTTTATGTAAATTAAGTTAACAACCTTGATTTTCTTAATACAAAATTCATGCATAGCTTCTGATGTGAAAGTTTGGTTTCTGTAAGGTCGTTTTGAACTTTTTTGCGCTATTAATTTTTTTTTATAGTACCACTAATCTTGTTGCATGGTGACTTTCTATGGGAAGTGACCAAAAAGTACTATTCAAACTTAAGGCTAAATTAGCTCTCTAGTAAGCATAGATTGTAAACGTTTTTAGAATTTTTGTACTGTCTTACACAACCATCAATAAATAATTGTAATTTGGACAGATAAGAAAATTTTGTTTTTAATATTAGTATGATTAGTTGGAATATTTTGTACACATAAGTTACATTTTGTGTAATGTCGTCTGATATATAACAGTATGAAATATGTTTCATTACACCTTTATTGTCTTTATAGTATATCACTGATGGATGTAAAGAAGATTGTTGATAGCTCTGTATTTCGTTTTGGACTACAAAAGCATTATTTTCAGAATGATTTTTGATTGATCTATATTTTGTTTTAGTTAGCTAAGTTACTGTGATTGAGAGTGGGTAACAAAAGAAAAAGCTTGTAGCTTTTCAGATCAAGATACTTATGCAACAAACGTTGGAACATCTGTTGTTAAACTCAATAATGATGCATGATCATTAGTTTGCCATTGCTTTTAGTGAATCTGAAAATCTACTTTGTATTCTCCAAAAATCTCATACAAATACATGGTGAGTGGTTCTTTACCAGGAAATCACACTGTGCAATCATGCACTCTTTGTTTTCTACTGAGGAAACAGTTTTCAAAAGTAATTATTTATATTTAATCCAATATTTAAGGCATCCACTAGCAATATGGCGTTTTGGTGAAAGAACAAACAGAATGTGTACCACACAAACAGAATGTGTACCACTTGCACCAAGCAAAATGCACCACTTTGGCCTAAGTGATGCAAATTTTGAGTAATTTTTTTGTATTTCTGGATTGTTTTCTTTGTATAATACATATATATATATATATATATATATATATATATATATATATATATATATATATATATATATATATATATATATATATATATATATATATATATATATTTAAATTAAACAAAAGCAGTTTTTTTTGTTTAAGGACATTCTTTTGAATGCTGACAAACGTAGTTCGCCATAAATCACTTGAGTGATTTATATCAAACTTGAATCCTTTTGTATTAAAAATTTGTCTATCCACTTTTGCTGGGTATTCTAATTTGCAAAGTTATTTTGTACTTCTAATATCAACCAACTTGGGTGTGCCAGTGTTAGAAGTTGAAAATACATATTAAAAAGTATAATAATAAAATATTTAAATTTTAAATCTACTTATTTATGATTTTCATTGTATGTTTATTGAATGGATCACAATCATATAGGAAACATTTTCAAATATTTTGTCAATGTCTTTCACATAATATTGTTAAGTTTGGTAGTTCAATGTTACAGCGTAATTATATAATTACTATTTCTTTATTTCTTGAAAACTCAATAACATTTTGTTGGCCTTTGCATGCATCTGATGTCATTAAGCCAATAGGACACATCTTAATAAGATTTTTTATTTACTTTTTATAAAGAGTTTTTTAAATGTAGTAAAATATATATTATATTACATTTTAGTACTTTTCTTGAATTCTAGATCAAAAAAGCATTATAAATGTTGTCTTTCATATTTTTGTCATTGTTATTTTTTATTTTATGAGAAATAACAATGACAAAAATATGAAATATAAAAAATGCTTTTTCAAAATGTTATGAAAACTGGATCATTTTAAGAAACCAGGTCAATATTAAAATTGAAATATCTTGGGAACTATTTAACATTTTCGACCAAAATTTTTTGGGTGAACTTTTCTTTGTAATATGCCACAGTCAAAGAAGTTTGAAAAAAATATGAGACCCATGGTTCAAAATTTCCTGAGTTTTGAGTGATTTAATGTAGAATTTCTCCTTTATGAGTTTTTTTCATGTTTATGGTTGTTCTCCTTGTTTCATCAATGCTATAGAGTAAACCATCCAGTAAAATAATGCGTTTATTTATGTAACCAATGTAATAATTTTGTTGGAAAATATAGTGTTGTTGTTGTTGTTGTTGTTGTTGTTGTTGTTGTTGTTGTTGTTGTTGTTGTTGATAACGATTAACTATCATGTAAATTTATCATTTTATTCTATTCTAATAGTATCAAATATTAAAGTTTTTTATATTATTTTTATAGATTAATTAACTGTGAAACTAATAGATTAAGTTTTAGATTACAGTTTTCATCATCTTTTTAAAAATCTCTAATTGTAACTGGTTTTGTAATGAGAAAACATTTGCTTTATTTGTATTATAAAGCTTTCAGGCTTGGTCGGGAAGCGGGAGCGATCACTCTTGAATACTGACCACGGAAATTATATTTAGTTGCATAAAACTGGCCAGGTTTTTTAGTCGTTTTGAGAACATTTAAGTTTATGTACGAAACAAAAAATTTTTGTCTTACGGACATACACGGAAATTTAAAAAACTTGAATGTTCTCTAAATATCTTTATGCGAAAGAATAAAAAGAATATTTGCGAACGCCAAATTAACGAATAAATTAATTCTATTGGTTCAAAAATTACGCTGATTAAGTGAAATAAAGTTCTAGAGTATTCTGTTAAAATGTTTTAGAAATTGTATTATTACTCACGATTTATTACGTTTTGAGATTTCTAGCATTGTTTTAAGAATATATATTATTTGTTTACGAAAATAAA